CCTCAAAAATCTTAGAAATTGTATTGTTAGTATTATCAACAAAACAAACATGATGTTTTTGTAAATCATTAGCTTCCCTTATGGCCATAGAAGCTGGTTGGTGTGCCATTTTGAAAAGACTAAGAACATTTGCTATGTTGGCCACACCCCCATCTGTTTGACATCACTAGAAAGCCCAGGATGTGCTGTTTACAGAACATCAGGACTCAAACTGATTACATTCATGGTGTTGAAATAGAGCCCTCAGTGCCATGTCGCCCACAGAGGACAAAAATGAATAGCCAGCTCTCAAAATACCATTTTCCTGTTTCTGATTCTGATGCAATCTGATCTGGCGAGCAGGGGTGGTACTAGCAATTCTGGGCCCCGACAACAGGCCACTGGGGTGCCCTGAAATAGTCTAATAGATATTTCTACAGTATCCTGGCATCTTCCAGGCCCCTTATCCAGCCCTTGTCCCCTCTCAATCATTGAGATAGCACTAAGACATGGCTTCCCTAAACATTTCTCATTCCATTTATAAGCTGCCTGGATTTTGCATACAACATACAAAACACTCTGCAATCAAATGAAACCATTCTAGACTGGCGAAAGGTATATTAGATCCACAGACTGTATATAAGAAATGGACGCCTCGAGTATGGGCGACAGGTCGGAGCTATTGTTGAGTTTTTGCAACCAGGAAGTGTGTGGAGTTAGCCAGCTTGCTTAGCTGAGTGCATCTGTAATTCACGTTAACTGTCATTTTAACAGGGCTGATAACTTTTATCTAGCGAACAACAGTCTTAAAACTAAACGTACTCACCAGAGAAAGTGAACAGCCGACTCCTAATAAGCTTTTTCAACAGCGCTGGTTAAATTTACACAGAGTCGGCTCTAGCCTGATTGACAGGTCGCCATGGTAACGACTTGTCAATCATAGATAATCCCGCCCCGAAACATACTCTGCTTTGTGGTCTATTTTAAAATAAATGGGACCATTATTTACTAAATTAACATCATTTTGTATTGAAGAAGCCATGAAACTAGACACTGAGACCATAAACTCATCAGCAAAGTGTTTACTGAGGTAATAAATCAGATGAGAAGTAGGGTTGGGGGGAAAAAAATCGATACAGCATAGTATCGTGATATTTGCCATGGCAATACTGTATCGATACACGGACGCCAAGTATCAATATTTTATTATATTGCAGATGGGACTTTTAACTTTTTGGTACTAGAATAATAAAATCTATTGCTTTTTTAGTCCACTAGAAAACTTAACAGGACCATATAGAGGACTGAAAAAGTGATATGAACAAACAGAGAAATGTTTCTTTTTAGAGTAAACAGATGTTGACAAAATTTTGACTTTAGGGACCTAATTGGAAGTTGGAAAAAGAAACAAAATCAAATATCAGCAACATAAATATCGTGATAATGTCGTATCGTGGGGCCTCTGGTGATTCCCACCCCTGGTGAGAAGTAGGGTCATTTTGCCATTATTTCTAATGGAGCCAGACTTCTTTTTGCAACCAGAAGAGTCGCCCCCTCTGAGAAAGGCGCTATGTTTTCTTGTCACTTTCTTCTTCTGCAGCGGTTGGCAAGCCAGCTTAGAATTTATTGCGTTACGTGAGAACGTGGTTAGCACTCCTGATGCTCAAATCTCCTAACCAAAGATGATGTATTACAAGCTGCACCAAAGGTGTGAAATGGTATGGTATACTCTTCTCCCCAGTTAAATCATAATGACAAGAATTATATTATTAAGCAAAGAAACACACATTTTGTTTCAGTTTTAACTTTAAATTAATGGTCTCACATGTAAATGCTTTTAAATTTCTGTTTATCCGGTTGGAAAGCGACATTGGCAGCACTGCAGTGAAACCAAGTAGGAACCTCCTGGTCTGAAAAGTGAAGCCAATGAGGAAGTGCCTTAAACCTGCATTCTTTCTAATGGCCAGCAGGGGGCGACTCTATTCAGTTTTTGCTAGACCGTTTGCCCAAAATGTATTGCAGAGACTAAAGGACCTGATCTACTAGGGGTGGATAAGTAATTTAAAAGTAATCGAAACTGAAATTCAGAGCCTCTAACCGATTTTAAAATCTGTGAATCAAAAAAATTAAATAAACCTAGCTTTAATAATTGACCATATTTACAGTATAAACCTCAGTGAACTATGAGGGCAAAAAACAACACATTCAAATACAAAATAATCGTTCAATTATCGTAATTGAGGTGAAATGTTCGATTAATTTTGATTTTGATTTTAGGTCAAATGGTCCAGCCCTATGATATACTTGCTTATAACTACGCATTTGCGTAAGCAAGATGGCGGCCATGCGTATCCTGCGTTCCTTTGGAGCCTAGGTTGTGCACGTCTTCAGAAATCAACGCTACATATCCGCAAGATACAATTCAGCACATGAACATGGGGGGCAGTATATTAGGATCTGAAAGGCAGGTCAGCAGCAATCTCCTTTTTCAAGCACATTTTCAAGTGGCCTTTTATTGCGGCCAGTCTGAGGCACACCTGTGCAATCCCGATGCTGTCTGATCAGCATCTTGATATGCCACACCTGTGAGGTGGGTGGTTTATCTCGGCAAAGGAGAAGTGCTCACTAACACAGATTTTCACAGATTTGTGAACAATATTTGAGAGAAATAGGCCTTTTGTGCACTGAACTCTTGGTCATTTCAGCCAAGTAATCTATCCACCATAACATCAAACTACAAATTGACTCCTCAACCATCACTCCAACCCAGGTGGTGAGAAACTTGGGTGTCATGATCGATGACCAGCTGTCCTTTTCAGACCCTGTTGCTGCTGTCTCTCGGTCATGCCGCTTTGCTCTATACAACATAAGAAAAATCAGGCCCCACCTCACTCAGTATGACACCCAGCTTCTGGTACAGGCCATGGTTATCTCTCGCCTCGACTATTGCAATGCCTTCCTAGAAGGTCCTCCAGCTTGTGCTGTGAAATCCTTACAAATGGTTAAGAACGCAGCAGCACATCTGGTTTTTGATCAGCCCAAAAGGACTCATGTCACTCCATTACTGAGTGACCTCCACTGGCTCCCCGTGGCCTCCAGAATCACTAATGCTTGCATACAGAGTGACTACTGGGTCTGCACCCATCTACCTAAACTCCATAATACAAACTTACGTTCTTTCTCGGCCACTAAGCTCCTATCGAACGCCGCCTGGCTCTGCCATCCCTTCACACAAAGCAATCCCAGTCCAAGCTATTCTCATCTGTGACACCACGATGGTGGAACGAGCTACCGCACGCCATCAGAGCAGGGGCGTCCCTCTCTAACTTCAAGAAGCTCTTGAAAACTCATCTCTTCCGAGAACACTTCCTCTTATAACACCTCTAACTCCTAATGTCTAACATGCACTTCCTGTGCTCTTCTTCTTCAATCCTCTTACAATTATCTTGTATTGATTGCACTTTTTGTTAACTCTTACTTCCCTTCCTAGGTATTTACCCCATTGATGTGATATGTGCTCTTACTAGTATTTATTGCTGCTCTTACTAGTATGTATTGTCAGTTGTAGATCTCGTGCTGAATTTGATGCTCTGTTGATGCTTGTATGTTGTTCCTCAAATGTAAGTCGCTTTGGATAAAAGCATCTGCCAAATGAGTTAATGTAATGTAATGTGATGCAGTTGTTTTTATTTCCTTTTTCATTAGTGTGAGACCAAAGAATATTTTTCCACTTGTGGCTGACCTTTGCGGTTGGATCCTATGGCCATTTGTCACAGCCCACATTTTAACCTGTCATAGCAACATTAATTATGGCACTCTTCTCATTTGAGCGTGTCAGTAAACCATGTCAGTGAGATACCACGGACAATTCCATCAATCACACAGTCTGTGCTTTTTTATGCAATTATCATTTTTAAGTCAAACTTTTTACTGTGAAACAGGTCTGTTTGGTTTAATTCATCAACATATTTCACCTTGAATATGAAAATTTTAATATTTATATTAACACATTATATTATCTCGGGCCATGTCCCATGTGGTTTATATCTACAAAAACTTTAACAAATGCATACGTTTAAAGACGTTTAGGCAGACTATCATTTATTTTATTTTTTTATAATCAATTCTAAAATATTAAAAAAGTCGAGTAAACTTAATTTTATTTTTAAAGCTATCTTTGGCTTTTTAAAAAGACTTAATATTAGTTGAATGAACATGGAAGAAGAGATGTTCAGTAAGCAGTTTAACCAGTGTTCATAACATTTTAATGACTTTAAGGTAATGGTGACTCATCCTGCAAGACTGCGGTTTTGTTCTAAATATAACATTTTAGTGTGTAAGAAAAGCAGTCGGCGAACACAAGATAACCTTGTGTGATGTTTAGCATGCGCAAAGCTTTAGCAAAAGAAAACTAATAAGGTAATTTCAGCACTTACCAAAGCTCTCTCCTCTGCGGAACCTAGATGTTTTGACAGAAAAGCTACTTCCGCACTGTCTCACGCTCTGTGGGTGGGTGCGCTTGTTTTGCGTTACGGACAAGAAAAGAAACGCTGCGATGAGCGGGGACAGAACCGCCGTGGACGGCAAAGAGCTGCAAAGGCACCGCTCGGTGGATTTAACGGTACCTCAAGCAACAAATCAAATGCGTTCAACCATGTCTACGTCATAGTCTTTCACGCCATGTGACCGCGGGGGTACCACAGACGGTTGGTGGAGTACCGGCGGTGTTGTTGCGGGATGGCCGAGCAAGCGGCGACAGGACACGCAGGGTGAGTGTCTCCCTCCAGACGCGTGTTTGTGAAAGTAAAGTAACGCGAGCGATATTCAGCGTGTCGTCATTCTGCGTAACACCTGCGTGTTGTTGTCGTTAAACGCGTGTCTAACTTTTTTTATTTTCAAACGAGCATTTAACTGGTTAAAACATTGTTCATTTTTAACGTGTCTATAACTTCTTAAGCATCGGTATATTTTAACCTGCTTTAACAAGGTCGTGCATGTTAAACACGTTAAATATGTTTTAAAAAACGTGCTGTTGTCAGTGACCCTGAAGGTAAACAAAACTAACACGGTGCCCAGAGGAGGGTGGCTTGATACTGAAGGAAGGGGTTTTATGCTCTTCCTGTGTCGAAGATACCTCGAGTATAATGTTTTTCCAGCGTGCACTTGTACATTTAAAAACTCTATCTGCCACAGATGATGGTTTAGAGGAAGTTAACTACCAGGAACTGAGGAAGAAAGACACAAGTTACCACAGTACAGTAACGTTAACCCCTCCTTTATCTGTCACTGTCCTTTGCCCCCATTCACTAGTTGTTTCATTTTGTTCTGGCTTCAGGGTTGTTCAGAGAATGCTGTCTGCTGTCGGTGTTCACAGTCTGGTCAGCAGTGTGTGGGGCTACGTGGACACCACAATAAAGTAAGTCATTAAAAATACTTGCACATTCATGGATCCTGGATTTATTTTATTTTATTTTTTTAATGAGAGAGAAGAAGATGTTGCTGTTATTTTAGGAGTTATTTGAAGTTTTATGTGAAGAAAAACACATAAACACATAAGGCACAAATAATTATTCTGCTTAAAAACATGTCTGGAAGGGATTTTTAATATAGATGTTCCCACAATCAGATCTTTTACTCACTGGGCTCAAGTGAGCTTACTGATGGTAGAGAACAAGAACCTGTAACATACTGGAGAACTGACATAATGCGCTTTCCAGCAATTGGCAAACATTGTATTTAAATAATGCCAGTTTATTATGTGCACCTACAGTAGATAAAATCAGTTCAGTCTAACAGCTCTGCAATAAATAAATAAATAATCTTATTAAATGGTTAAAAAAAAGTTAAGTTTTTATTGAAACTATTTTGGAGGCTGTAGTTTGTGCTGCTATTATGTTATACTGGGAGGTGTTTCTGATATTTTAATTGTCTCATTCATATTAATGAGGGTAGAAAAAATATTAGAAACACCTCTCTATTGACACCTGTTCCTGTACAAGTACTTTTTGGCATCTCCACACATTGTCACAGAGGGGGTTCTGCTGCCTGATGAACCACCATATAAAAAGAACATTCTGTTGAAAATAAAGTATTTTATTTGACTTACGTAATGACAAAGAGATTAAACAAAGAACCAAAAGATGACTGTGATCATCGGTCAGTGTTTGTGTTTGCTGTTTTTGTGTTTTTCAGCTTTCCAATGTTCTGTCCCCTAAACCACATTGCGTCAACAGAGCCTGCCTATGAAATTAGAAAGCACCCTTTGTTTTAAGAGGAACCCACACTGAGCAGCAGATGCAGAGGACATCAGATGTGATGCTCTCAAACATGCTAACATTCGGTCCATGTGCTGTCATCATGCTCTTTTCAATATAGATTATATATCTTAAACCCCAACGCTGTTTTAGTCGCACACTGCAGTGACATCGTGTCCTTTCTGCAGTTCATAAAGATGATGCTGATGAACCTGATGAAGTTTTTCTGTCTGCGTAGGTGGTGCTGGATCCCCAGCTGGCTGCCGTCATGGTGTCCCACCTCCCAGATCCAGCTACAGACCGCAGAGGACAAGATGCTACGATGTAAGGATCTCCTTCTCTGATGGGGGTTCATTTATGAAAAGAGTAATAATTAGATAATACGACTTCATCTCTACGATATATTCTACTTTTGGACAGTGTGAGCAGGAACCGTGGCCGTGCTCTACCCAACTGTGGCCCATTCTCTCAGTCCCTCACTCACTCTTTCATACTGGACACCTACTGAATTGTAGCACAGTTGACTAGATCGCCAGAGACTAGGGTGTGTAGCATCGAGCAGTTTAGACCAAATGTACATTTTGTATGATTAAAATAATAAGAGATACTGTAAATCCTAATTCAGTGGTCGGTAATAGGCGGCCCGCAGGCCAGAACCGGCCCGCCAGCTACAATATCTGTCCCGCGGCCAGACTGCTTTGATAGCAGAAAAATAAAAAATAAATAAATTTATAGTGGCTGATGTTGAATTAGATCTCAGTCATGACAATGTTACTCACATAATCACTTCCTCTTAAGTGATTATGCCTTCCAAAATAAAAGCGCAAGAACATTTTTTACAGCAGTGCTTCATTTTGAGTTTATTGAGAGCTTTTACTTTGAAAAGTTCTGAAGGATATTCGAAAGAGTCTCTGGCTTAATTGAAACACCTCTGAAAAGCTCTCAGTAAACGTGTGATTGGATTCCCCTGAAATTCCTCAGGGAAATTAAAATTAGTGTCCATAGGTTTACGAATGCGGATCAAACGCCGGGACGCGCACACACACTGCAGCACACGCTTTATTGCGAGCATGTGAAAATGTGTCCTCATTGGCTAATCAATTTGTTTAACAAGGGAGTCCACTGGATTTTGGATCATACAACTCCTCCAACGGGAGTCCCGCACTCTACCCACTGAGCTAAACGTGCACATGAGTTTCCAAGGGTTTGAAATAATTTGATTGAAATGATGTTCTGGCCGCCATGTAACGGCTTGAAAGAAATTTGGCCCAATGTCAGATTTATTAGCCGACACCTGTCCTAATTATTCAGCATCCAGTGAAAATGTGTTTGTTATGATCTGTGATCATCTGATTTGAGTAAATTGTGTAAAATGTTTTATTTATTATTATTTGGATCTGAAGAATCATTTTGTAAAGCCATTTCAGAAATATAAACACATATTGAGGTTTATCTTCAAAAGCCCCAACCCTGCCACACAGATTCTGCTGTGTTTAGCTGGCAATGAATCATGGTCTTAAAGATTCACCAATGAACTCTCTTTCCTTGCTCTTCCCTTTCTTTTCAGGTGTAAACAGCACTTTCTCTAAACAGTCCGTCCCAGTCTCCAACGGAAACCAGCTTTGGACCCTGACCTTTAGCAGTGACCATGTCAAAGACAAAACCCCCATGGTTCTGCTCCATGGGTTTGGAGGCGGCGTGGGCATTTGGGCTCAGAACCTAGACGCCCTCTCGCAGCGTCGCCCCGTCTTTGCCCTGGACCTGCTGGGCTTCGGTCAGAGCAGCCGGCCTCTGTTCTCCACAGACGCTGAGGAGGCAGAGGACCAGTTTGTGGAGTCTTTAGAGCAGTGGAGGGCTAAAGTGGGTCTGGAGTCCATGATCCTGCTGGGCCACAACCTGGGAGGATACCTGGCTGTTTCATACTCTATTAAATACCCAGACAGGTGGGTGCCGATTATGGGATTTTTCTTATCTCACTGTAGGGTTGTGTTGTTTTTAATTTAAAAGGGGTCTTTTATCCTTTGATGCTGATCTTGACGATAAGAGCTGCATTTGACGTGATAAATGTTATACCAAGGAAGTCAGGAAGTGTGGATGTAGTTTAGTCTGAAACATTAAGCAAATTAGAGTTTTTGGCTGACACTGAGAGGTTGGCAGGCTTTTGTAAAATTTTGAGTTCAGAATCTCAACACGAGCTTGAGTCGTCTTTTACTCTGCTGTCTTATTAGATTTTCTTATAGGTAAGAGTATTTTCAAGGTATCAAAGTAGTTTATCTGTCATTATACCACACAAGGTGGTTGTTAAATTTTATAGTCCCTTCATGCTAAACACACAGAACACAGATAATTAAATGTATATTAGAATATGGTCACATATAAAATAAATAAAACAAAATATACAGATATTTGTATACATATATTGATACAGCCAGGAAATATTTCTGCAGTGCATTTTTTTGAATCTGCAATAATGTAAACAGTTGCAACAAGATAGTGGTGTCAGTGTAGAAAAAGTCATTTGGGAAACAGTGTCCACTCTGACTGGGTTTGAGCACCAAGCATCACCGATGGAAACACAGAGTCCGCCTCCTCTTATCTTGCCGGAGTCTTGCACTATTTACAGGAGCTCATTCAAAATTTTTATTGTTGTCATTAAATAATTAATTATTGTTAGGTGCAGCGGTTGGTGATGCAGACACATTTTTATATTATTAAAATTATCACAGGAACGTCAATAAAATGTTAAAATTGTTCCCACGCTTAAGATGAGGACAGAGGATGTTTGTTTTTTTTCTTTTAAAAATTACATAAACAATTAATTGATTATTAAAGTAGTTATCAACTAATAAATTGATTGACTAATTGATTCAGATGTGATAAAGTGTTGTAAAGCACATGGTAAAAAGTTACCTCCTGTTTGTCTCACTGAGTCTGGGACAGAGCATCGGTAAAGCTCCAGCTCCCCTCGGCTTTACGGAGCTTTATAGTGACTTTCAGCTCAGTGTTAAGCTGTCCGGCCACAACGTTACTGTTCTGCTTCACTCTCACCGCCCTTATAGTGTCAGTTTCGCCACAGCAGGCAGCTGGTTTCAGAGAAAAAGCTCTAAAAACCCACTGAACACTACCTGCTCAACACCAAACAGACACGGAGACTAGCTGGTGGAGCATTTAGCAGCTAAAGAGCCAGATGATTTTGGTAGAGAACAAAAACAGCCAAAAGAGAGTGAATATTGGATTTCCGTTCATCAGGTGGACACAAACACGACTCCAAATGAATGATAATGTTGCTTTGTATCTGCTGGTTGTGTAAAACAGCAACTGTTTGCTATCAGATTCGCCATATAAACTTAAAAGGTCAAGACGTTCACAGCTTGTTTCAGCTGCCCCCAAGTGGCCAAAAAGAAAGAAGGCCATGTAACACAGCCGAAAGCCACAGGATAATCGAGTAGTGGACTTTGATTTTGTCAAGTTTAGTCATGCCTGTCTATTGAGAAAAGAACAAAGACGCTGACCCTGCCCAGAAAGAGAAAAATGACTGAATTGAACAGTGTTTTTGAATAATGATTCTGCCCTCTTAGTGGTAACATGACTGTAACAAACGGTGCCAACATGCGTACAGGATATAGTTGTAGCAGTAAGACTGGAGGTGCTGGCAGCCCGTGATAACAGCAGTGTCCTCCAAGCCTTTCTCCTCCCACCAGACTCTATCTCTCCCGAATCATCTCCTCTCGCTGCGTTTCCAGCAGGCACCCAGCTCTCCCCAAGGGACGTCTGATAAAATGTCCCCAATCCCTTATCACCCTCCTTCATCAGTAATGCAAAAAAAAAAAAAAAAACCTCTTCCTGTCCTCTTACTTTTATCTCAGCGTTCCAAATGGCCTTTCAGTTATAACATGAGTTGCTCTTAATCAAGGACACGTGTCCTTATTTAAGCTGAACCGTGCTCATTGTTCATGTTATGGCCTAAAGAGAAAGTTTGCTGTTTGGTTACATGACAACATAATGGAACAAAATGTACGGTGTGTAATGTTAGACACAGTTGGTGATGCAGTTGGAAAGAATTCAGGCAGGGCAAGAAACAGCAGTCAGACGATTAGACAGATTAAGTAAAAGTAAACAAACAGCCATTTGACATTAACCACCAGAAATCAGGAAGTCTGTAAATGATCAGCTTGTAATTATTATTATCTCTTCCATGTACATTATGTATGGATAACCTGGGGGTGGGGTTTGAAATCTGTTTTTTTTGCTTGTATTTTAAGCTGAATTAATTGATGTTTGACCCTTTTTGGAGCAGTGGAACAAGCTAAAAACACAGGATTGACATTATCACTGTGTGAAGTCAACATGTTTCCCAAACAGTTGGCCATTCACACAAAAAGGAGGAATATTAGCATTTAGTTGAAGTGGTGTTGGCAGCAACCTCGTCTTCTGCCGTGTGGTGCTGGGCAGGCTAATCACAGTGGCTGTTAGAAGCTTAGTCTTATTTTGATGTTTGCTGGCCAGGAAAGCAGAAAAACGAGCTTAAAGATGCTAAAAACCTCCTTAGAGCCGAAGGGAACTGCAGACTCTGTGATAATTGTCAATTAGAGCAATTGTAAAATATAAATGTGTCCGTAGTTTTTACAGCCTGTATTTTGGCCATTATTCCCATTGGTTAGGGAAACCTTTTACTTACCAGACTGACTGTGAAGACACGGTGATGTGGCACAGTTTAACTGTAATATAAATGTACTTTAAAGTGAAAGTCACAAAAACGTCCATTGTAAACAGTGGTTAGAGCTTGTGTGTACATGGTGATGGTGACAAGAGATGCTTGTAACGGATAATAAATCTGGTGTGATCACACTTTACAAAGTCGACTTTAAGATAATTGAACTAATCTGGAGGTTTTCCAACAAGCTGTCTGATCATCTGATGCCCGTGTTACTAGTCTTAAAGTCGGGGCTAACCCACAGAGTCATAGCTGTCTTGACTGATGGCCTAAAAAGACTAAAGTGTGATGCAAGAGATATTTTACATTAAAGCATTTTGTAGGAATTTTAAATTCCTAATTAAAACTACCTATATCTAATATTTAAAGGAAGTAGAGAAGCTCCGATGGCAAGTTTCCCATCTAATTTCGATTTTCTTTCTGTTTAAGAACTATAACTGACCGCATACACAAACATTTTTCTTTAATGGAAAATTCTTTCTTTATTAGGATCCCCATCAGCACCAGCACAAACACTGGCTTTTCTTCCCGGGGTCCATTCAATTGGATGTTCATAATAAAACAGTACTATTAAATTATAAACTTAGTTAAATGACTCCAAAAATGCACCAGGGTACAGGACCTTCTCTCTCTCAGACACATTTCAAATTAAGAAAGTGCTCCAGGTTAGGTTTTTGTACAAATAAAATCCAACTGAAAAAATCAGTGCTGATATTAGATTAGCATCCATCTTCTTATCTAACTCTCGGCATGAGAGCAAATAAGGGAATTTTCCAAGTCGTTGAACTATTTCTTTAAATCATGTTAATTTATATTTGTGGGTCTGTATAAACTATTTGACTTTGAAATAACCCAGATAGCAGGAAAATGTGTATTTTATTTCTTTGTCTCTGGCCTACAGAGTGAAGCACATAATGCTGGTGGAGCCCTGGGGATTTCCTGAGCGCCCGGACTCAGCAGAGGCAGACCAGCCCATCCCGGTATGGATCAAAGCCCTAGGGGCCATGTTCAGTCCCTTCAACCCGCTGGCTGGCCTGAGACTGGTCGGCCCACTGGGTAAGACTGGAGCAACAAGGTGGTATAAGATAGCAATGTACCACAGCAGAGACCTCTAACCTGTTTTTATCAGCAAGATTAGATGAAACCTTAATGGTCCCTGAGGGGAAAGGGGGTAGTGACACAATATCGTCATAGAACTGTTTATTTAGATGAAAATGAGAGGAATATCAATGCAGGGTATGTGAAAGAGTAGCTGAGCATCTGGAGCTTACAGAGAGAAAATTAATGAGAAATATGAAAATAAATGCAGTATGAAATGAAAATGTGTTAATAATAACGTGACTGTATGGTTGAATCACAGCATGATTACAATGGTTTGGTTCTATTAGCTGAGAGATTTTTTTATAATTGTTCTTAATGTATGTGTTCTTATAATATACAGGAAACTAGTTTGACTACTAATCCAAACTAGTCTTCTGATGAGCACAACAGTTCCACTAAAGCTGATTTCTAATGTTTTGATCCAGAAGAGAAATCAAGTCAAACCGTGGTTCCTTTTTTTTTTGTGCCCTCCAGCCCTCCCCGTTGTTAATAACCATGTCAAAAGTAATGAAGCAGCCTCGTCTCTTAATGGCTACATGCGTGGTTTTGACACAGAGTGCCTCTTCTGTGGCCCCTGCAGGCCCCACTTTGGTCCAGACTCTGAGACCTGACTTCAAGAGGAAGTTCTGCTCCATGTTCAGTGACAATACTGTGTCAGAGTACATCTACCACCTGAACGTGCAAACCCCCAGGTCTGTCTCTGTTTCCCTGTCGAGCATCATTGCTGCTACCTGTCTTAGTAACTGCAATGTATTCAGTACCTTTGAGAGTTTTACTAAGTAACGTCATGCCTTGTCATCAACATTTTCTGGCCTGTGCTGTGTTAATTATTCTTCTGTATTATGACAGTGGGGAAACAGCTTTTAAGAGTATGACCGTTCCCTACGGCTGGGCAAAGAGGCCGATGTTGCAGAGGATGGACCAGCTTCAGCCTGAGATCCCCATCACCATCTTCTACGGATCCCGCTCCAGAATAGACAGCAACTCAGGCAGCACCATCAAAGAGATGAGGCCACAGTCTCATGTGGAGATCATAGTAAGTTCATGGTTGGATGAGAGAGAGGGAAGTGCACATACTTCTAACCTGTGCCCTATTGTGACTTTATATATTTTTCCTGCTACTTTTCCTGCGAATGAGTTCCTGTTGGATGTACCAGCTTTCTGAACTTTAACCTCCTCTGCTTTTACCTGATAATGAGAGGGAAAATATAGTGGTGTGGTATTTTAATCATAGTTTATATAATGCAAATTGTATTAATTAATATTTTTTTATTTAATTGGCAAACTTGTGGTTATTATTGGGGAAATCAATTGAAAATACGCTTTCCATTTGTACTAAATTATTGACCGTATTAACATTATTAACGCTCCTATGTTGTAAATATACTCTCATCACACTGTCATAATTGTCATTATTAGAGTAATATAACTGAACTATTAACCTACAATTGTTTCTTCTAATTCTACCATGTTATAATAATGGAATCGTTCAGCTGTCTGACAAAATCATTTTTAGCTCCTGTTCTTTAAATCCCAGAAATAACTTGATAAAATAGCTGCATGCAATGGATCTTCCTTCCCTGCCACTGATAATCAGCAATATGTTGATAGATGTAAGATAGATGTAAAAAGAGGATCAAATGATTCTCTGTGGTAGGCATTGTGTTGTTAAAGAATTATGGGAAAAGATTTCATATATATATATATATATATCTTTTGTATATATAGGGTATGCGCGTGATGTCACAGAACGCTTTTACGCTCACTGGCAGTGGCAGAAAGACGAGCAGCAGTGTTAGCTTTAATCAGCTAAAACACAAACAACACATCTAAAATGGGAAAGAGCAGGACCGCCGGTTCTTTGGTAAGCAGTAAGGATCACTGTCGAGTGCCACTGCCTTTAATTTGAGCAAATAATCACTTGTTTTTCTCCTGGTTTGCTAAACGCAGCCATGGTAACAGATGTTTTGCCACTCAGTCCAGCATCTTCCGGAAGGGGAAGTGACATCAACGCATACCCTCTATTGCCTCCTGTTTTAATCACCCGCTTCCCTTCCTGTTCTCGGTCCTCCCTGCAGACGATCCGAGGAGCCGGACACTACGTATACGCTGACCAGCCAGAGGACTTCAACCACAGAGTTTTGCAAGTGTGTGATAAAGTGGACTGAAGCAGAGACGAGCCTGGTTACTGAACTTTGGAGAAAAAGGGGAGCACCAACAACAGATATCACTTTAGTAGCACTTCCTCAAAGCAGGAATAAGGAGTCATTGTACATAGAATACATTTACAAGGAGCAGTGATCTGCGTTTGACGAATGCGTCATGACACGCTGAAGTTCCTGTCACCTGACCGCTGATTTAGTGATATTCTCAGAAATTTGGTGAATACAGGCCCTGAGCTGACACCACTGATCAAGTCCCCTTTTTAATGTGATTTACCAGCATTCCGATAATTATCAAATAATGCCCGTGGGCCAGCATCACATGCTTCTTTTACATTACTCTGTGCGAGACACGCATACAGTAGGTGGTGCTGCAGCCTCTTGATCAAACGATTGATAGTGGAAGGAGGGCTTTTGAAATTCAAATAACTCTGCTGAACCCAAAACCACAAAGCCTCAGTGTTCCGGGAATGAACGTTATTGCCCATAAGTGGCCTTTTATAGCTCCTGTAGTCGTCTGATCCAAACATGAAAACATCATTTCACTCATTTCACTTATCAAAAAAGTGTATTGTTATATTTTAAACTTTGTATCCATATTTTTTGTTAAAAAATACAAGACTCAATATTGTAGAGAGTAATTTCTAATATTATATCATGATATATTTGGCCACGCCTTAAATTGTATGTAACAGAATCAGTGTCAGTGCATTGAAAAAGAACCCCCTCGAAAACGAGATGGTCCATCTCAAGGGGTTTTTATCCTGGAAATAAATAAATTTCTTACAAAAAGCTCAGTTACAGTGTCATGTGATAGGTATTTCCTGTACAGCGCTCAACCTGTCGCTTGTGGTTTTCTCATAGGATCCTGATACAGACAGGAGGCGTACTCTTTAGTACATCACTGTGTCAGCACTAGGAAGCAGCTCTGGATTTATCTGCTGCCAAGAATAATTTATTTTACAGCGCCCTGTGCTTGTTTTTGGCTTTTCTTTCTATCTCAAAAGTTAATTTAATTCGTGTTAATAGTGAATGTGAGCTGTCTACAAAAAAACATGTTAAACCATTTGAATGTGTAATTGAATTCTAAGTAGAAGCCTGTCATACTCTATATTTAACTGTTTTATATACGTAGCATTTAGGGGTTCCTTAGATGTTCTGCTGACCAGTGCTGATCCAAACAGTATTATTGTAACAATGGCCACCTGCATATTAGCCTTTGGTTATTTGTTTTTTTTCACAAACCCTCAATAGTACTGTTCACACTTAATAATTTTTTCCAAATAGAAATTAAGCCTAAAAAAATCATTTAGAAGCAAGATTTGAAAAGCATCAATTAAAGTGGATTAGATGGGCACCAAACCAGTCACTTTTTCTTTCTCTCTCCTCCGTCTTTAGAACAAGGTTCTGTCCATATTCAGCTCGATGTTGTTGGTGTATGTGCACATACTTAGACATGACAGCTCACTTGAGCCCGCAGCAGAAAGGTTTCACAGGGCACTTTTTAAGATGACAGTTAATGTCATCTTTTCAACTTTAGAGCTAGACTCTGCCATCAAATAAATAAATAAATAAAAAATCTGTTTTAAAACAAAAATATAAAAAAAAAGCAACAATATGTTTTATTTTCTCTACCATCCGTAAAATTGACTAGTCAACATACTGTTGAACAAGGTTATGTTCCAAGGCTGGAAGTTATTAGTGATTTGAGTCAAAAATGTCAATTCTGTATTTATTTATTTTAACTGACAAAACTCCAGTTTCACTGTCTCTCTCTGTAATGTCTTCTGTGGCTGTGGGGCAACTTTCTAAAGTCTGAAAAAGTATTGCCTGTTGAATGAATGTTTATGTCATCAGGGTTATCTCGGCTTGGCCATGTACACTACAAAAGTACAACAGAAAGGAAACTGAGTTATGACTATACTATACTAAAAATCAGGATTTCTTGATCTGCTGCGTTGAGTTTGACATATTTTTTTATTTGTCTTTTTCAAGTCTCCTAATTTAATTTAAGTGCAATACTAATTCACTGGAGTGCCCCTTCAAGTCAGTCACTGAAAATAAAATCATCTACATATTAAAGAAACCAGTGGAAAGGCTTCTACCTCTACCTCTTATTTTACATAGTTAATTTCCTAATTGAAATGATCTAATGTAATCTGTGTCTGTAACATGAACTCAGAGTTTACAGAGGCTGTTTCACAGAAAACTGTCTGCACGGCAGCGTTAATATTGGAGCTGATTTGTCAAAGGGAGATATGTCTCTGAATTTTTACTGAGTTTCTTGAGTTACTTGTTTAATACGTATTGTAGACGTATAAAAATGTTGCGCAAATTATTTTGCTCCCAAAAAATGTTGCCTCAAGTGACAGCCCTCCTATTCCTGCCGTATTTTTAAATGTAAACACAGATAAAATGGTTCACTTGCTTCTCTGTCTTCTGTCACGCGTGAATAATGTAGGTCTAACTTGTGTTTGCATCATGTGTTTAATCTACGATGCAACACTTTCTGCCTTTCCCTCTCTTTTGCTTTTCATTTTAATGGAGCAAGATGAATCAATATTTTTCCTCCAGCTCCCCTTATCATTTCAGAGCTGTCAGCCCTCTGCCAGGGAGAGAAATGATTCCCCTGTGTTTGTGTTTCCCCTCACTGCCACTAGAGAGCACTCATATGCAGATGGGGAGATGAGGAGCTTGTGGAAATGTCTTCCGTCTTTTGCGCTAATATCTCCACTCATTTCCAGGTTTTTATTCAATTTGCAGGGAAAGCAGTCGGAAACTGACATGTGACATGAGAGATGTTTCCACAATGCCAATTACCAAAAAAGGGCGTCTGAGGATAGCGAGGAAGAGCAGTGAATGCAGCTCTGGAACAGGGAGTGTTAGATGAACTGAGGATGGGAGGATGTACTTTGCCCCCCCAAATCACCACCACCACTGTTTCCATCCTTAGATCCGGACTCTACATTAACACGGATATTGATCGTAAAAGACATCCTATCTGTTTTTATTCTCTCTGCTCTTTGATCGATGCAGCCGAAATATGCAAGCTCATGTGAAAGTATTTCCAAGTCATACGGAGCCGGTGGGGGCAGTTTTGTCCCACTCAGCTGTTTGGAGAATGATTGAGGTGGGTGTAATGAAGTCTCCTCTTGGTGGTACAGTAGCTGTTGTATAGCCTTGGAAACAGAATGAATCTCATTTATTTCATTAAGGAACTTCATCAAGACTGCATTTGTAAGAATATTACATCATACAAGGTATTGAGAATTTATTTGGAGCCTCAGCTGACTGCTTATATATAAAAATGCATCCCCACCCACTAAGACTGCAAAACTAGAGCCGCCTTTGGTGGTTTATCAGTGGCATTAGTTGGATATCAAGCTATTAACTTGGATCCCACCTCAGGGTACCCACTATAAAGCTACATTAATGCCACCCTTCCTCTGACATGAGACCATTAAACACAACATGGCAGGGTGGGGCCGCTACAGACCTGTGAGTCACTATCTGATTATATCCCACTGATGAATCACAGGATTGATTACTGGAGCTGGAGTTTTCAAGCAATCATCCAGTAACGGTAAAATCAAATGGGAGGTGAATTATTTTCAGAAAAACTAGTCCAAATGAAGGCCACTGATCCTCTGAGGTAGAGAAGAGAGCAAAGCAAAGCGCTGCACTTTCAGTCATTTAGAAATTGTTCGTTTTGCTGTGTCATGGCTTCAAGCTTCTCCAGCAGACTTCTGTAACCATCAGATCTGAGCCCGTCTTGCCTGTTTGCTTTGCTGTGATGTGCTCACAGTGATCCTCCACATGTGAAGAGAGAGCTGATAGTAGCAGGCATGCAGCTTGACCATTTTCTTTCTCAGCTACTCGCACAGTAGGCCAATGAAAACCTCCACCAGTAACCAGATGGACGGGTCAAGAACAGACGTTTCACCAGGGAGATCACTGTTTGTGGTTCGGTCACACTGGATGTGAAAACAAAAGTCAACATCACGTGAATGACTAACTAAACTTACTCATGATCTTTTCCTAAACCTAACCAAGTGGTTTTGGTGCCTAAATCTAACCAAACAGCGACCGCTTCACAACATTAAGCATGTGTTTATTGTTACCATGATGATGGAGGTCTGGTGTAAGCTGTCTGTATGTTCAAACAAGACAGAATAGGGCAGACTGCTACCGGAAAATGATTCTCGAAAACCCTTGACACAACTTATGTCACCGCACTAAAAAAAGCTGAAAAAAAAATAATACTAGTGACTGGAGTAGTGGTTGATGCAGGAAGATGGAAATGGTGGAAACGTCAGTTGGAGAGAGGAATTTGTTGAGTTGGAATAAAGTTAGGAAATAAAGTCAGTCAACAGTCTGAAGGCAAAAAGAAGCAATTTCTGTGGACGGAATTTTGACGGAATTCGTTGCAGCCACTGCAGCTGGTTTGCGGCTGCTGGCTGAAGTCTGCTCCTGCACGGATTCCTACACGAAAACTTTTTGTTCTAGTCATTTCAATCCCAAAATATGAGAAAATAGGGCCCGGGTTTAAAAATATTGAAATTACCCTTTACTGAATGCAAAATAATAATAATAAAAACCATATATTATCAAGTAGATGTTGATATAGATAGATAGATATAAGTAGATGTTCAAGGCAATGAATTATGTTCCACTGTTATGCTGTACGTTGCATGTGTAAAAGATAAACTTCAATCAGTAATTTGGTTTATCAGCCCTTAGAAATATTATTAAAAATCTCCTTTCTTCATTCAGTCTCCTTAGTAGTCCCTCACAGATTAGACCACGGACCACCATTTGATAAGATTTTGGCCCAGGGTCGCCAATCTGATAGGGTGTTTGCTTTTAGATGTTTTCTAACATAGAGTGGATGAAACCTGGATGACTAACATGTTCATACGTTCTGTCATTGTGTTACTTATGGATGGGATCCAGTGAGACTTTGAGAACCACTGCAGTAAACAACCAGGCCTGTTTCCTGTACGTATCTGAGTTGTAAATCTGTGGCACCATTTTACTTCAGAACATGCATCTGCTTCTAAATATACTCGTCTGTAACAATGACTGGGACAGTGATTGTGTCCAGTGCTGATATGACTGAGCGGAGGAGGAGGAGGAGGAGGGGGAGGAAGAAAGGCAGAGGGAGATGGAAGAAGAGGCGGAGGAGAAAGACCTTTACTCTGGAGCACAGACCAGGCCAGACCAGGCTCGTCTTGTCTGGGTTGCTAGGAAACCGGCAAGGCGCCTGATCTAATTTATTAAATTCAGCCTCTCGCCTCCTCTATATCTCTCTCATTCTCTTCCTGTGTCTGTCTCGCTTGCTCACTTTCGGCCTCCATGCTGCTTTCCCTATCTGTCGTTATCTTTCCCACCCTCTAAGGCGCTTATCTCCCTCCCTTCTCCTCTCCTCACTCTTTCTCTGTTCCCCCTATCTCTATCAGGCGCTTCCCAGCTGCCTGTGTGTATGCGTGGATATATCTTTCTCTCCCTCTCTCTCCCTCTCTCTCTCTCTCTCTCTCTCTCTCTCTCCCACCCATCCTCCCTCCATCTCAGACCTCAGACAGTGTATCCTCTCAGGCTGTGCGGCAGTGCCACCCCCATATCTTTCACACCAAGCCGTGAGTACTGCCCCTCAGGCAGGCCAGACCTTCTGTGACTTACCAAGCACACAAAACACACACACGTGTAAACACACACATAAACTGCATTACCATATAGACTGTGACTTTGTCTCGCTTTCCTCTTGGAGTCTGGATTCATAAATGTTGGTGCATCAGCCTTTCACTACAAAGCACTCTGCTGTACTTTTGCCTGAATTATTCAGCATCACTACTGCTATCTTCAACACGATTAATGATCATTCACATTCAAGATAATCGATAAAGGAGGTGGTATTCGTGCATATTTGAGTGCCTTTGCCAGGGAAGATTACTGAAGCACATTGAGCGCACTTCAGTATGTATGCTAGGTTCACCAGGAGTTGCTGCAAAAACTGCAGTAGACAGACGTAGTGGCGTGCTGCGACAGCTGAGGGGCACTGAAAAAAAACAAATTGTACGTGATGCACTAGTTTTTTGTAAATACAATGCTTGGTTTGTCGCAAAGTCCCTCTTAAGCTTTGAGAAACTGCTAGAAGCTACAGCTGCTCTTGGCTGGCGACGATGGTATAATAACGCTGATATATTGTTTAAGGCCCTCTATGATCAGTGGTACGATCTTAGAGGGCCTCAAGGTGGGGCACACAGCACAGTGCAAAAACAAGTTGTAGCATAAATTTACAGCACCAACACGCCCGAGGTGGCAGGAGGTTGCCGTTATTTACTTCATGACAAGTGATGTTGTGTTTGCTAACGATCTGAATCTTTTCAACAGCTCTTCTGTGCAAATGAAAGGAACTACTTTGGGAGAGTTGCTCTTTTTATCCTTGTGCCCATATTTCACTGCTTGCCCTTAATCCACTCCCCTTTACATGAACAGTGTACCAGTACCCTTACCACTCTAGTCACAAACTATCTGTGACTATCAATACTAGGTCCACTTGATAACTATCCCGGCGTACGCTGGTGTCGTGATAGCGAGGTG